GCTATGCTAGTTGCCTCCCAGCAGGTCTCTCATGAGGACTTACCCTTGGCAGCAACCAGCCTTTCTCTATTGCCTGACAGGCAGGAGAAATTGTTTATTCTCTGTCCTCTCTGTTCTTATGGACAACCCCTCCTTGCAACGTCCTGAAATGCTCATCAGCCTTTAAGAAGGAAGGTGGGGCCCTGGGGGTGGCATGGGGGATGGGAAAGGGGAAGGACTTGCTCTTGGGTGGGGCTGAACGGGATTACCCCTGAGACAGGGAAAGGATAACACCGGTCCCTCAGTAAATGCTCCAGTGATGCCTGAGCTTTGCGCAGCAGTTTCAATGACAGAGACCACGGCTTCTCCCTTCCCTTTCCTGCACATTTATGTAAATCTCAGGGTGTTTCATAGGCCCCTGAGAAGGTGCCAGATTGCCTTCTCTGATAGCCCACACCTGGCCCAAGAGGACTGAAGAAAACAAATCACTCAGTTTAATCAATGAACCCGGCAGACGAACAAAGGTTCGAATAAAGGAGAAACTTGGGACATGGTCATTACTGTATATACAAAAACATGGAACATGCTCAAAACTTACAATGTTTTATAATCTTGTGCTCCCCGTCTGCATTTTAATCCTGAAGGTAGAGAATGTGCATTTTCCTTTTGTGCTGTCATTCACTGTGCCTGGGGACAGAGCACTCAGTCGTTTAGGCTGGTGGTTGGAAGCAGGGTAGGCACACAGTGATATAAAGGGGAAGAGGCAAAATTTCAACAAATTAAAAAATCAGCTTGCAAGAAATCAACAGTTAATTGTAGCACCTTGGAAATCTATTCCAAGACTCAGAAGTATTTTATTAATTAATCCCATGAAATGCACATTTTAGCGAATGAAAGCAAAGCCACAATTTATAAGGAATTTATATTCTAACAAACATTTCTCTTGGATGGGTGCAAAGCTGTTAAAGAAAGTTAGAAGACCAGGGAAGAAAATACAAAAGTCCTGTGTTGAAGAAGAGTTTTCTCATTCTGGGAAGAAAAAAAAAAAAAGTTAAAACACCAGAAATTCATGCTGCTTTCTAAGATGCTTCAGCCAAAGAAAATAATTCAGGTCTGGGCTGGATTAACTCAGATGTCTACAAAATAGTGAATGTGTTCAGGTGTGGGAGATTATGAGAAGTGGAAGAACCAGTATCTGCTCAAGGAGAGAAGGTTTGGTGCCATGACCCAGAATGAAGAGGTTTGTCACCAATCCGTCTTTGAACTATAAAAACAAAAGGAAAATGCAAGATAAATTCAAAACCAAAAGTAGAAAGTAGAAATTGGGGATTGGAAATACTGACCTTATAAAATGCAATGTTTAAGTTGACCCTCCCCCCAGGTGTGGCCACCTCTAATGAACGGGCCATTCTTAGTCAGTGGTTCTCATCTGGAGTGCTCCAGAGAATGACCTGGAGCATTTAAAAAGTCAGAAGCTCAGAGGCTGGACGAGGTCAATGGGAGAAAAAGGGGAAACGTAATACTTTCCACAATAAAGATTTTTTTTTTTTAAAAAAGTCGGAAGCTAGGGCAAGGTTTCTGATACTGAATTATTGTTTTAAAGTTCAACAGTTGATTCTGATGCAGTAGGGTCTGTGGCCCATACCTTGAAGATTCACTGAAGTAGACCATTGCTATGGATTGTGCCCTCCTGAAATCCATATGTTAAAGCCCTAACCCACAACATGATGATATTTGGAGATAGAGCCCTTAAGAGATCATTAGGTTTAGGTGATATCATGAGGATGGGGCCCTCAAGTGGGGATTAGAGAAAAGACATCAAGGTACTCTCTCTCCCCATGTGAGGACATAGCCAGAGGTTGCTATCTAGGAGCAAGGAAGAGAGCTGTCATCAGCAACGGAATCAGCTGACACCTTGATCTTGGACTTCCCAGAACTGTGGAAACCAATGCCTGTTGTTTAAGCCACCCAGTCATGGTATTTTGTTATGGCAGCCTGAGCTGACAAAGACAACCATAAAGTAGATACATGAAGTTGACACTCTCTTGTGTCAATGTAATGTTGAGAAAGTTGCAGCCATCTTAGCACATAGAGTTTTTCAAATAGTGGAGGTCATATTTTGCATATAAGTTCAAACCTATATCATGCTAGGCCAGTGATGGCGAACCTATGACACACGTGTCAGAGGTGACATGCAAACTCATTTTTTTTGGTTGATTTTTCTTTGTTAAGTGGCATTTAAATATATAAAATAAATATAAAAAATATAAATCTTTGTTTTACTATGGTTGCAAATATCAAAAAGTTCCTATATGTGATACAGCACCAGAGTTAAGTTAGGGTTTTTCAAAATGCTGACACGCCGAGCTCAAAAGGTTCGCCATCACTGTGCTAGGCTATGGTTTAGATGATGAGTAAAGCATCTTAGTCATTGTTGGGTGGAAATGGATTCCGCAAAAATAAACTCTTTTTTGAAACTTTGCCCTAGATACACAGCCTATTTTTTTGTGTGATACTTGACATTTTTTCTCCTTTTACTTCATTTGTGTACTGTACATGCTTTATTTACCACTAGTCCATGAGCTTCAAGGGGCAATACCATGACTGATCCATTTCTGTAGCCTTATGATTATTCTGACAAAAAAATCTGTATATCATTTTATCTATATACTTCAGCATCTATATCTTTTAATATAACCCCAACATTATCAAACTTAAAAAGATTAACTTTAATTTTAACACCATCAAATATTCAATAAGCATCCCAATTTTCCCAATTGTACCATAAGTAATATTTTTGTTTTGAATTGTCTAAATCAGGGTCCAAATGAAGCCCACATATTGAGTTTTGCTTGGTTGATCTGTCTCACCAGTCTTTTAACCTCAAATTCCCCTTCTTTTTTCTCTTCTTGCAACTTTGTTGTTGTTGTTGTTGAAAAAACCATTTGCCCTGCAGACATTTCTATGTTCTGGATTTTTCTGATTGTATTTCTGTGGTGTTATGTCCCCCTAACATGTTTTTTAATCCTGCACTGGTAGGTAGAATTATGTGTTGTATTTAAAGGTTTGATAAGATTCAGATTCCCCCCCTTTTTTTGGAGGCGAGGGGAATGTGCCTCTAACTGGTTACTTATTGTCACATGACAAATTATTGCCTAACAACAGCTTAAACAACTTTTTAATTTGCTCATGGTCATTATTATTTTTTATTGATTGATTTCAGAGAGAAAGGGAGAGGGAGAGAAATAGAAACATCAATGATTGAGAGAGAATCATTGATTGGCTGCCGTCTGCATACCCCCTACTGGGGATCAAGCCCGAAACCTGGGCATCTGCCCTGATTGGGAATTGAACCGTGATCTCCTGGTTCATAGGTCAATGCTCAACCACTGAGCCAGCCACACTGGTCAAGTTGGTCAGGAATTTGGGAAGGGAAACAGGCATGGCTTATCTGTACTCCATGGTATCTGGGGCCTTGCCTGTGCCTAAGACTCTCTCTCTCTCTCTCTCTCTCTCTCTCTCTCTCTCTCTCTCACACTCTCACACACACACACACACACACACATACACACACACGCCCCAATACCAATATACTACTGCAATATAGTTTCAATTTCTTCACACTTTGTTATGGGCTGAATTGTGTCCCTCAAATTAATATGCTAAAATACCTCAGAATGTGACTGTATTTGGACACAGAGTCTTCAAAGAGGTAATTAAGGTTAAATGAGGTCATTAGAGTGGGCTTTAATCCTTTATGACTGGTGTCCTTATAAGAAGAGGCAATTAGGACACAGCCATGCACAGAGAAAAGACAACGGGAAGACTCAGGGAGAAGATAGCCATCTACATGCCATGGAGAGGCCTTGGAAGAACCCAGCCCTGCTGACCCTTTGATCTTAGACTTCTGGTGTCCAGAACTGTGAGGAAATCAATTTCTGTTGTGTAAGCACCCAGTCTATGGTACTTTGTTATAGCAGCCCTAGCAAATTAACACACAGTTCCCTTTTCCCTAATAATATATCCTAGGAGGGATGTAGTCAATTCAAGGAAGAATGTCGTTATCTTCCCAAGGGGAACACCAAACTAAGTTTCCCCTCATTTTATGGACAATGATGGGAAAAGGGGTCTAGATTGTGGATCAGTGGGAGCTATTGCTGTAATTCTAATGGAGCCTTTCCTTTACATGCCTCTTCTAAATCAATTATGTCTCAGTTTTAATTTTGCTCTAGACTCCCAAGTTCTTTTTATAACAGCAATAGTCACCGTTGAATATTTACTATGTTCTAGGCACCCTGCTAAGTTCTTTACACTTAAATCATGTAGTCCTCCCCATTATAGGGTAGGTACTATTATGAATGCAGAGGATGATACTGAGGCTTAGGGAGCTTAAGTGACATGCTGGGGGTCACACATCCGCTAAGGGCAGATATAATTAGAGAAGCCACCCTGGTGAAGGTGAAGTAGTCTCTGGTGTTATTGACAGGCTATAGCCAGAATCCTAATAGTAACAGCCAACTTTTATTGAGCACTTATTATTGTGCTAAGTGCTAAGTGCATTACATGTACTTACTAGAATGAAAAAAATCATCACCACATAGAAGATTTCTGACTTCTCCTTCCTCTATGACTCACTCCTCCCCAGGAGTGGGGAGGGACAAGAGGCTGGGAGGAGGAGGAGGAGCAACTTTTCAGTGATGAGTATGGGAGTAGGAACCCAGATACATTGCTCAGCCCCTCTGTTTCTCCTCTTAGCAGCAGCCTCCTCTCATACTATTGGCTCTGTTTTCCCAAGATGCATGGTTTCCAGGGACAGTTTCCAACTGGGAGGCCTGCCCTAGCTTGCGTAGTTACCCTGTTTAATTCTGGGGTTCATTTACCCACAAATACAAACCACTGACTCCAATAAAAAATTATTCAGTGATAAAGTTGATATTCTAATCCCATTTGTTGCCCATCCCTTAATTATTCAGAACTCTATGAAGGAGGCGGCAGCGTGGCCATGGCGAGGGCGAGTAGATCCAACTTTCCTGCTGCCTGAGAGGTGTGGAGGGTCGCGATGTCCGAGAAAAAGCAGCCGGTAGACTTGGGTCTCCTGGAGGAGGACGACGAGTTCGAGGAGTTCCCTGCGAAGGCGGGACTGGTTTAGATGAAGATGAAGATGAAGATGCACAAGTCTGGGAGGGTAATTGGGATGATGACAATGTAGAGGATGACTTCTCCAATCAGCTAGGAGCTGAACTAGAGAAACATGGTTATAAGATGGAGACCTCATAGTATCCAGAGGAAGTGTTGAAGCCACGTAAAGTGGAACTATTTACTAAATTCTAGGGCACAGAATTCAGGATGGATAAACTTAAAAAATGTTTATTTTAAAAAACCCCCACTAACTTGCCCTAGCTGGTTTGACTCAGTGGATAGAGCGTAGGCCTGCGGACTGAAGGGTCCCAGGTTTGATTCTGGTCAAGGGCACATGCTCGGGTTGTGGGTGTGCAGGAGGCAGCCAATCAATGATTCTCTCTCATCATTGATGTTTCTCTCTCTCTCTCCCTCTCCCTTCCTCTCTGAAATCAATAAAAATATATATTAAAAATACCCACAACTCTATGAGGGTTGAGGGGTGCCCTTTATTATATCCACTTGAATCCCAAAACTATTAACTCATTGAAGCCTAATACGAATTCCATTAGAAAAGTATTCTCCTCCTCCCAGATGAGAAAACTGGTAGTTCTCATGTGGCCACTCCATTGAAGGATAAATATTTGCTCTCGGTTCAGGGTCAGATGAAATTAAAGCACTAAGGGTGTTTGCAAACTTAAAGGCCATAGGGAGGTGGTTCCGGCTTTGACATTCACTGGCAGCAGAACCTCGATCAAGTACTTTCCGACTTCTGGTTCCTTTCTCAGTAAAGTGAGGATTGGCTGTTTATTTCTGTTCCAAGGTTCTGTAACTGTGAATCCATGATGACTAGCCTTTGACTGTTTCCCCTGGCTTCCCTTTCGTCACTGAGGGCTTTTGATGCTGACTTTTCCTCTAATTGAGCTAGGCCCAGTCCCTGGGGGACCCAGGGTGTTTGAAACTCCCGGTTGTTTGATGGGCTCTGCCTTCTGAAGTTTGCGCTCAGTTGCCTTTGGTTGCCACAGCAACATAACATGCCCACGCTTCCCTTTCTGAGAGTGATAACTGCTGATCTGCTGTCAGACTGTTATACACGGGGTTCCACCCAGGCCCAGCCGTTCTGCAGCTTTTCCTTGCTTCCCCACAAGGGCCAGCAGACAGGGGAAGAAGCTCCCAGTCATTCCTCGGGAGCTGTGGGGGCTCAAGTAAAATCATGCAGATACTTTCCTGGGAAAAGTGCACAGGTCAGCGTTAGGAAGAGAAATCTCAAGAGATTCAGGCTCAGTAGTAATAGCCTGATACAGAGCAGTGAGTCCAGCCATTGCCAAGCCTGTCCTTTGGTTGATACCACGGAATTGAGTGTAGTCACCAGGCTATGGGGTTGATGGAGGCCTTGTGGCAGGCCTTCACTAGGAGGAGTTTCATCTGATTCTGAAACCCGTGGTTTAACACCAGAACAAAGCAAAATAGCAAAGAACAGGAAATGGAAAAAACAGTTTGTGTCGTGGAAACTCCCTTTCGTTCACCTGCATTCTTCCAAAACAGCAGTCAAAGGAGCCCAGATACTTACCCTTCTGGGGGGTATCCCCAGATGGTGCATCTCCTGGAAGGAGGTTGTCAATACACTTGATACCCCAGTTCTGTTTTAAAAAAATTCTTTATTGTTGAAAGTATTACCTATGTCTCTTTTTTTCCCCTCTTGACCTCTCCCCACCAGCTCCTGCCCCCAACACAGGCCCTCACCCCCCTACTGTCTGTGTCCATTGGTTATGCTTATATGCATGCATACAAGTCCTTTGGTTGATCGCTTACCCACCACCCGCCCACCCTCACCTGGATACCCCAGTTCTTTTGAAGAATGTACTCAAGGTATCATTTAGGGAAGGAAGTTGAGGTTGTGTTTCCCCACCTTCAAGACAAGATAACTCACTCTCTTCTGCATTTTCTGAAAAAAGAAACTGCAGTGGAGCCAGGAAGTAAGGACAGAGCAGGGCCAGGGTGTGAACCGGTGCTAGGGACACCTGCACTTACGAGTGCTGGGACAGCTCCTCCGTAGGGAGGAACAGATTTGGGTGTTGGCTTTGGACAAGGAGGACAAGAGGGCTAAAACAAATACAGGTTTTGAAAGTCCAAAAGGATGGGCATGTCAGTGTGTACCAGAAGGAAAGGGGCCAGCAGCCAGGATAAGAAAGACTCCTGTCCTTCTGACCCTTGCCCTCACAAGATCTGCCACCACTCACAACCAGCAGACACTTCCTCACTTAGGTGGGGGAGGGTGGCTGTGGCCCTTGGTGGCATTGTTCCCAGAATGAAAAATGTGGGTGTTGGCAACCATATCAAAGCCCTTGAATTGTTCAGAAGCCCTTTTCCCTCTGATCACCAGACCAGAGTCCAACGGCCTTTCAAGGCCTCTGGAAACTTTGGAACAATAGGCTTGGCCCCCTGCCTATCTGTTCGCATGGCTTTCTGAAAAATGTAAGTGGGCCCCCGCTAGCTGTGCTCCAGACCCATCACCATCCTGCCAACTTCCTTCAAGTTGATTCTCACAAGTTAAAGTTGGTGCTAAAGTGAGCACCAGTTGGGACATTCTACTCTTGGAAGGCAAACTAGAATTAGGCGAGGGGAGGACTAGTACATGTCCCAGCACAAAATTAAAGGGGGTGCCAAAAAACTCAGTAATCACAATAAATAATGTTTTAATGCAATCTTTAACATTTTTTTTTGATATTTTGTTTACTGTGGGTTATTTTGCATTAATTTTGATTTATGAAACAATGATATAAAAGTATTGTTTATCTTGACTACTGAATTTTTTTTATTTTTTAAATATATTTTATTGATTTTTTACAGAGAGGAAGGGAGAGAGATAGAGAGCCAGAAACATCGATGAGAGAGAAACATCGATCAGCCGCCTCCTCCACATCCCCCACTGGGGAAGTGCCTGCAACCCAGGCACATGCCCTCGACCGGAATCGAACCGGGGACCCTTCAGTCCGCAGGTCGATGCTCCATCCACTGAGCCAAACCGGTTTCGGCAACTACTGAATTTTTGATACCTCCTTAAAGTTTGCGTCCGATGTGAGTGCCTCACTTGAGAAATGGTGTTGTTCTCAAACATTCAGAAATAGGAGACATGAAAAAGGCCCCTGAGGATTAGCCAGGAGTGAGAGGAGGGTCCCCCAGAGGTGGGGAAAGGACAGCCCAGATAACCCAGGCCATGTTTCGTGTACATATTGAAATTTTGGGTGGAGATGTGAGAAAAGTCAGGTTTGCCACAGGCTCTAGATACCTAACAGTTCTGCCAGGGAATGCCAGTGAAAAGCCACCTCCAAGAGCCCCAGTCTGCCCATCTGAAATCTTGCACAGGGAGGCTGGGGAGTGCGCTAGCAGTAAGCTATTGCCTACTTGGTATTTTCTTAAAAGGATTAGAATGGCTCCTTTTCCCTAAGGGTCACAGCTGGTATGCCATCAGCAGAGTGGTCAGTCCTTTGGCTCTTGAAATCATTTTGGTTTTAAAGAACCTTCCTTTAAAATACAACCATCTCTGTGGGAACACATTATCGGCAGAGATCTTACATAGCAGAGACCTACCCATTAATTAATTAGTTAGTTAATTACTTCAGCAAACATTTAGTGAGTACCACACACCAGAGAAGAGTAGGATCGACCCTGCCTAGTTTAATGGGAGTGAAAGATAGAAATGTCAACGCAGTGGACTAAGGTCAGGATAAAGACCAGGGCAGAATGGTGGAAGGGCCCCTCATTCAATTTAGATTCCCTTCCAAGCAGATCTGCAACTGAGGGAGAGCAAGACTCGGGTAGGCTCCTGCTTGGGATTACTAGAAAGAGGGGAAGAAAGGAACAGAGAGCATTCTCAAAACACTCCTCACCCGTGTCTCAGATTTGCCGGGGCCAATGCAGGACTGGAGGAGGAAGCCAGCTGTCTGCTTTGATTCAAGGATGTCCGGTTGCGCAACCCCAGGGGTACATTCTCATGGAATACAATGTAGGCTCAGTGCCATTGGACAGGATTTGGAGGGTTCTGTCCTGGCACAGTGAAGACCATCTCTAAGAGAGGGGTGAGTTTTCCCCTTAAAGGTCTGTGGCTATGCATCTTGGGGACCCGTGCACACGGAATCCTGACCCTGGTGGGGTGGGATGGGAAGAGGAGCCCAGAGGGCCCACACCTCTGGGATTTCTTCCCAGGGCTGGCCTGACACATGGGAGTCTGTTCGGCTTGGTGGCTCTGCCCAGCTTCTCCTGTGAGAAAGGGGCTGTGACCCCAGGGGGTAGCCTCCCTGGGAGAGCAAAACCACAGGTGCTGTCTCGGATGTGCTTCCCAGGGGAGGCGGTTCGAGAGCCGATCATTGATGCAGCAGCCCGGGAAATGGCAAGAAAGGGGAGGAGAGGGACGTGTCTGGATCCTGAGCCCTCTCACTCTCTTTATAAGTGATCAACATAGGAACATTGATTCAGGGCTTTTAAACACATCAGTCTATTTGTTTTTCATGACAACTCTGTTATTACCATTTTCCAGCTGAGGAAATTGGATCCTGAGAGATGACATAACTTCCGCAGAACAGTCAGTAAATGGAAAAGTTAGGACCTTGACATGACATCGGTTCCTCATTCCCTGAGCTGAAATGAGAATAGCAGCACCCAAAGCGTTGTGCTAAGGATTGGGTCTGATGCGTGTTCAGAGCAGTTCCGAGAGCAGTGCTAGCCAAGAGAAATATACACGGGAGACTCATGTGTAATTGAACCCAGTCACCCTATTAAGAACAATAAAAGAAAGACTTGAAATTAACTTTAGTAATATAATCTATTCCACACAATGTATACAAAGGATATCCATTTACTATATAAGCCATATTTTAAAATAGTTTTCATATTTTAAAAATGTTAATGAGATATTTTATATTCTTTTTTCCATACTAAATCTTCGCAGCCCTGTGTGTATTTTGCACTTACTACCTATCTCAGTTTGGATTAGCACCTTTCAGGTGTCCAGTAACCCCAGTGGCCAGTGGCTGCTGTCTGGTGTAGGTTTAGAGTGCTCAGGCACAGGCCCCGGGCAGGGGGGTTCCCTACTACAGTGGTGGTTGTTCCGCGCCCCGGGTCCCAGGCAGGTGGCTCCTTCTGAGCTCATTGGTCGTCCACACCCTCATGCTTTCCTCTTGTTTTTCCCTGCCTACTGCCCTCAC